GAAGCCGGGGCTGGGGGGAAGGAGTGGCATTCATATACCTTCTCTCCTCTCTGCCCCCTTTAATAATGCTTTAGCTGCCTCCTCTGCACTTGTGCCACTCATGTGGCCAGGCTTGGCTGGGCCCTTGAGATGTGTGACTGATCCGGGAAGGCCGGGAACTCGAAGCAGCTGGTGACCAGGATCATGGGATTCAAGCAGCTTTGAAGCCAGCGCTTTCTCCCTCAGAGCTTGTATCCTACTTGGGAAGTTTCAGCTCAAACCCAGGCACCTTCGGGCCACCAAATAGGTCAGCTCCACTCGGCTCCTGTGCTGTGGTAGCAAGCAGGGCTGCAGCCCAGTGCTGGTCTGAGCACATTTCCTCAACCTGGGAAGTCCCTCTTCAAGGGGGTGCAGTCATCACCCTTCCCTGGTCACTCAAACCCCTAACTATTCTTCCAGTTGTCCCCACTCCACCTGGGCCCAGATCCCTCTCCTCACAACTCTGCAGGGGCTGGAGGTCTCCTGTTGCGGGGCAGAGAGTCATGTATGCTCCCACTTGTGCTTCCTTTGCCCTCCCCTGCATCAGTTCCCAGAATGGGGCTTAGGAGGCTGCTTCCAGGGAAGGTGGGGAGCTCGGGCCAGCCCCTCAGCTGTGGGCAGCAGGCAGGGTGGCTGAGCTGGTGCCCTCTCTCCAGGCTGCTGCGGCTAGCCATCTTTCACGCCGAGTTACGTAAGCTTGAGTCAATTGGAGCTCGGAGCGGTTCATTGTGGGCTATTTTTAAGCTGTAACACATCACAGCAGAGGGGTCACCGCACCAGGCTTGCAGGGAAGGTTGTTTAAACATCTGTTATTTAAATTTCCCTGGGCCTTACAGCTTAAAAACCACATCCCTCGGCAGGCTTGGCTTCTTGTCTTGCACATCCCCTCTGAGGAGAGGAGGGTCCCCCCTCGCACCCTGCACCCTACTCCCCTAGGACTAGCTCCTCTGCCCCAACTGTCTCCCTTTGGAGGCAGGCAGCAGGAGGTGTCAGCTTCTTCAGGACAGGGTGCTACCTTGCTGTAATGGGGGCACCCTGGACGAGAGACTTGAGGAGCAGGAGTTAGGGCTCACTGCTCACGTGACTAGCTCCAGGAAGGGTGGGAAGGGGGCGGGTGGGTGGGTGGTGGTGGTGAATAGAGTGAGACAGAGCTGGGTGAGGTGCAGCGACTTTCCCCCATAGAGGGTCTCAGTTGTCCTTTGGTACCCACCAAAGCTTGGGCCACATGGTTCTGGCAGCATTTCCAGAAGCCACATTGGCTTGCACTAGTCTCTTCCAGAACACAAAGATGCTTCCATCTGCAGCTTCTAGGGCAGACGATGGGCTGGTGCATGAGCCCCTGGGAAGCAGGCAGGGTGAGCCTCTGGGAAAATGGGGTTGATTCCCTCCTAATATTAGCAAGTAAGGTTGACTGTGCTGGGAGCCCTTTCTTCTGAGCCCCCATGTTCGGAGTTGTCTCAAGTCTTGCCAGGACTGGAAACACACAGGACCAGGATACGACAGAGCTGCCGCAAAGAACACTATGTAGTGGGAAATTGGCTTATTTGGGCTGGGGGGAGGAAGCACACCTGGTGATGCTCAGGGGTTACTCCTGACCTGCACTGAGGAATTACTCCTAGTGGTGCTCACGATCCACAGAGGATGTTGGGGATGGAACCTGGGTTATCTGAATGCAAGGCAAAAAGGCCTGTCTGCTGCCAGCCCAGAAATTGGCCTGTGTTGGACAAAGGAACCTTCTGTGTCTTTCCCCTGGATGCCCATCCTACCACCCTCCCCACTATCCTCACGGTCTGCTAGGGGAGGGGTCCAGTCTGACCACACACGACTTTCTAGCACTCTAGGTGTTACTGTCCGTCTCCTGAACTGACCTCCCAGAGGGCTGGGGTCTTCCTCCTGGGCCTGCCCAGAGGGGACTAGGTGAGGTGAGAAGGGAAGCCAGGTCTGGACCAGATCTCCCAGAGGAGATGCCCTATGGCCTCACCCTCAGACTGAACTTCCTGAACCTTCTTGGCCCCTTCATCAGGGATTGCCCTTAGCCTGGGGAATGGGCTCAGACTGGGGGAGGGGGGGATCTCTGGTTGCCATGACAACAAGTTGGCCCTCCTCACTTCCCAGAATCAGAAATAGAATTGGATGCCCTTCTTCCTGGTGAGAAACTATTTAAAAACACGTAGGGGGAGGGGTATAGGGACCATGTCTCTGTCCAATCCCTGGGGCCTGGGAAGAGGGGCTCTTCCTCCTTAGCACCCCTTTCCTCAGCTGAATGAGATGAAATGAGTTTTGACCAGCCGAGAATGTTGAACAAAGGACTCAGATGGGTCCCACAGAGGGTGGTTTGCACTAGGTAACCCCAGGTGTCTGGGAGGGCACTGGTTTAGGAGTCCCAGAAAGAAAATGTGCTCTCCACAGGGCTGAGGCAGCTCTCAGCTCCTGGGAGGAACAAGCGGAGGTACCAGCTTGGGTGGGAGTTGTGGCTGCAGCACACCCAGGAGGCTATTGCCTCCCTCCAGCATGGACCTGGCACCCAGTAGTGGCCCCACGGGCACCTGACAGCCACACTTTAGGTCCCCATGATCAGCTGCATCAGCTGAATTCTCTTGCTTCTCTGCCTCTATTTCCTCATTTGTGATATAAAGCTGACAGTGCCCGCTGCCTCTGATTGCTGAGATGCGGGGTTCTCTGTGCATGGCGCGTTCCCATACAGAAAGGCCCCTTCTGCACAGCGAGCTGGAAGCCACTCCTTCAGGACACTGACTTGGTGGTGTTGGCCTGAGGGTTGTGTGCCCTGGCCCAGGGATGTAGTGATTTGGGGGCCCAAGGGGGAAGGGGACCCCCAGGGCTATACCCAGTGTTGCTCAGGGGGCTATGCAGTGCCAGAAATCTAAGTCAGGGTCTCATGTCTCCTGAGCACTCACTGCTCCAGGGCTGTTTGCTTCTGGGGGTGACCGTGGGGGGTGGGGAGGAGCAGCTGTCTTCTCTGGGCTTCTTCAGGGCTCGTACTTTTCAGTCAGCTCTGTTCTCTCCCAGGATATCACACAAAGGACACTCCCCCCCTGCCCCCCGACTCAAGGAGTCTTACATCTCATTTGTGGGGGAGTAGGGGGATGGCTCAGCAGTCAGACGTAGGGGACTCTGGGGGAGCCCCTCTATGCTTCCCTGTGCTCCCAGAAGCAGTCCCCGTCTAGTGCTGTGCAGGCAGAAGAGATTATGTGCTGCCTCTCTGAGGTAGGGGGAGAAAAAACAAAGCTCAATTTGCTGAGAGATTAATGAAGTTAATAGTGTTCAACTGCGTATGTTGCAAGCACACATGCACAGGCAAGATCTGTGAGCTCTGGGGTGGGGGGAGCAGCTACTCCTTGGTGTCCAGTGCTTTCTGCCCCTATTCTTAACAGAGGGTAGCAGCATCGGGGAGGGGAGGCCCCGGGGGCCTGTGCCAGGGCTGACTCAGGCTTTGCCTAGACCCGACCCAGGAAGGTGCAGACACAGCGCTCGCCTTGGTCCCCGGTCACATCGCTTCACACCCCTTGGCCAACTGTAAGCACTATTTTTAACCTCTGTGAAAACACGCTGTTCCCAAGGATAAGCCTACAGCTGCATTCTCCACAGACCTGTTTACCGGGTGGGAACACTGAGGCCTGAAGGGACACAGTCCTGGAGGACCGAGGGAGAAGGCCCCTCTCTCAGGGTCTGGAGGATGTCCACCTTCAGCCTCCACTCAGGTTCACAACCTCCAGACTCAGTCTTGAGGCTACAGGCAGGTCCCCTCATTGCCACTTGGGCCTGTCCTTGTGCCTAGGGAGCATGTCTGGCTCTGGGCCAGTGGTCCAGACAAGCCCCACTCCTCCCTGCCCTGTTATTTTGGAGCCACACCCGGTGATGCTCAGAGGTTACTCCTGGCTCTGTACTCAGAAATCACTCCTGGCAGTGCTTGGGCTATCATAGGGATGCGGAGGATCAAACTGGGGTCTGCCAAGAGCAAGGCAAGCATCCTAGCCACTGTATCTTTCTGGCCCTTTATTTCTGCCGTTTGCCCATCCGAGAAATGCCCACCAGGTCTCTGAGCTTACATTTTCTATATGCCATCCCTGTAGCCGGTCCTTCATCCTACTTGTCATCAGTCTATACTCAGCTGTGCCCACTGCGTACCCACACGTGTAGCCACCACATCCCTGTCCTGTAGCCAGCTCTGTTTTCACGGGGTGTGAAGCCCTGCTTGTAATGGACACGTGGCTAGCCTAGCCCTATCTCTAGAGCCCTGCCCCCCTTCTGGCCAAGGTGAAGTTAACAGTGTGATAAGAGCTAGAACATTCTGCCTTGAGGATTCTGAACAGTTGCCCCACCCCCCACCTCTGTGGGATACTGGCCCTGGGCTTCAAGGACATGTGGCTCTGAGGAGGGGGCTCTGTGAGGCACAGGCAGAGGAGAACCATCTGGAGCAGCAAAGACTGCCAAGGAGTTGCTGTCCCTAGAGTGGGAGCCGGGAACATGGGGGAGGGGAGCGTGGGTCTGAGCATGGGTCCCTCATCCTTCCAGAACTAAGGAGTAAAGGGACTCTGGCTCCCAAATGCCCTCATGCCACCTACCTGGAACATCATCTGTGGGTCACAGCTTGCTTGAGTCTCAAGCTAACACATGGGAAATGGAAAGAGCCAGGAGATGGGGAGCCCAGAGACTCTCCAAGGATCTTCCCGGCACTGTTCTCCCTTGACCTCACACTGCCCCCACTTCCAAGATGCTGGGTGCTGCCCCCTTCACTCACACCAGCCCCATAATGGTCACCTGGCTGGTAAAGGGTGAGGAGGTTGGTAGATATGACCTGGGTCCCTGGATCTCTCTGTCTCCCAAGATTCCCTGAGTAGGCCCCCATTCCTCAAGGGGGTGGGGCCCCTAGTTTCTCACTCTGTCACCCTCCCCCTAGGTCATTGAGGGCTGTGATGTGTGGGGTCACCATGGCAATTAAGTGGGGGCAGGGCGCCTAGGGCATGGAGCAGGACTATGGAGACCACGAGGAAGGTGGGGGACCCTGATCCATCGTGCCCCCAGGGCTACCCCTCAGTTAGCATCCAGCAGCTGAGGGGTGGCCTTGCAGAGTCTCAGGGACAATGGATAAGCTCAGGATCCAAGTTCTTCAAGCAGAGGTTGCCATTGTTCACCGAAGCTGTCACTGACGGGGCCTATGCCTCAGCTGCCCAGGCCCAAGCTCCTCACTCCACTCAGCAGCCACTCCAGGACTTTGCTGAGGTTAGTTGCCAGGCTGGCTATAAGCAGGACTACCTAGATGCCCTGAGAGTCTTCTCTAGTAGCCAGTTCACAAGCCCCGTCGAGGTCACCCTTGAGCATGGCATCCTGGAGAGAGAGACCCTGACCTTCCCTGTGTACAAGTACAGTGATCCCACCAGTAACATGGCCCAGAAAAGATCATACCGCTCCCGACTCCAGGAGCTTGTTGCAGGACAGAGCAAGACTCCAGCCAAAGTCTTGGTAGGCTGTGGCAGAGCGTCATACAGTGCTGCCCAGACACCCGCCCTGGGCATCAGGAAGAGCCGATGGCCATCTGGTTTCCCTCCAGGGGAGGACTCAGCTGTAGATCAAGCGCCTCTTCCAGCTATAGCCCGAGATGAGGACCAGGGCAAGGGCCCAGACCTGATTCAGCCTCCTTCAACTCTAACCCAGGCAGACACCCCAGCTCCAGAGAAAACCCCACCAGCAGCAGTTAATCCTTATACCTCTAATCTTGACCACGAGACTAATACCATCTCTCAGGCATCACGGTCCCAAGATTGCCAGGTCAATTGTGACAGCCACGGGGCCGACTTCAGGGAATCTTCCAAAGCAGTCACAGCTGGCCAGAACAATTCCTATCCTCAGGAAGAGCCTCCGCCACCACCGCCCGATCAAGGAAAGCAGGATTCACACTTAGACACTGCCCTGGAGCCTGTCAAGGCCAACAGAAGCCAGGAGTTACCCACGCAGCCTGGGAAGCCAGCAGAGAAGGTTGGTCCCTCTACAACCATTAGCCCAATGTCATGGTCAGAACACCCAGGAAGACACGAGACAGAGAGGGATAGCAAGAAGGTTAGCAGCTCTCTGCCAGAGACGCAGCCCCTCACTCCTAGTGATAACACCCGCTCCAGTGTGCAATTGTCCAGCCTCCACCAGCGCCCTGGGCAGCCTCCTGGAACAGCTGTGCACGTTTCTGCTTCCAGAGCCCCCTCCTGCCTGCTCCAGAATGCCGTGGAAGACCAGGTATTGGTGTTTGACATGGCCACTGGCAACACCAGGATGGGGCTGCTGTGCCATGACCCCATGGGCTCACGGGCAGTGCTGGTAGGCTTGGTTCCCAACTACCCAGCCAATGATGCCCCTGAAACTGTGCTGCCTGACCAGCAAATGCCTGTGCCCACCTTCTCCCCTAAAAACTGTCACTCTAACTTCTGGTCCAACTTACCCACAAAGAACCTCAAGTCCTCCGGCCTCTCATCTGGCAGTTACCCAGAGGCGGTCCTGGTTCATAAAGAGTCAACATTACACCTGGAGGAAAAGGATGCCCCCCAACCTGGATCACCCCAGAGGGTGAGGATGTTCAGGGGTCCTGTTCCAATGGAGGTGCCCCTCCAGTTTGGAGAGAGGCTACAAGATCCTGGCTGGTCTAAACCTGATGCTGATAGAAATGAAGCTGATAGCGCCATCTGGATGCTGGATCCCCCCAAGACGCAGAGCCCCCCTGAGGTCCCCACCAAGAGGATGAGCTCAGAGCGGCCCCCTGAGCCTGCTACATCCACCCAAATCGAGGACAGAATCAGCCATGAGCAGAAGGAGGGTGTTACTACCCCGCCTGACAACCCCCAGGCGGAAGGGGCTGGGCCTGCCCCCGTCGATGCTAACCCCCCGCCTGTGGAGCCGCACCCCCAAGCGGAGAAGTCTCTCCTTGCCACACAGCCAAATTACCAGCTTCCTGCTGTGGAGCAGCCTCCCTTCAACAACCAGTCCAGCTTTCTGTCTTTGCACTCTCTTCCTGGAACCCCTCTGGACCAGCAGCAAAAGCTCACTGGGGAGCCTCCCTTACCCCAGGAACCCTCTGCTCCCCAGGAGTCTGTCCTTTCAAAAGCATCCTACATCACTGGGGAGAGTGTCCAGGCCCCTGCTCTGCACCAGGAAAGTGAGATCAAGGAACTATCCGACCATGGGAGCACCCTGAGGGTGTCCCCAAGCTCTGAGGAGGCCGGGGTCCATCTGAACAGAGAAAAGGGGTCTCTCAATGATATTCAAAACTCCAAATCAGACAGGGGCTCCTGGAAACCTGGCAACTCTGCTGTGGTACAGAAGGAAACCCCTTCTCAGTTCACGCTCCCCACACCTAGCCGTAGCTGCAAGGTTTTGCCCATGATGGGCACTAACTCCCAGAATACCCGGTTCAAGCTGACAGCTGAGGACGTCACGCACTCCCCAATGGTGTCACACCTCGGCCTGCTCCGTGGGACCTGCTATGAGGTGGTATCACCCACAACTGTGCTGCCAGTGCACTCTCCAGTGCTCTGCCACCAGTCAGCGAGTCCCTACCAGAACATGGCAGCCGTGGTGATCGACACAGGTTCCGGCTTCACTAAGTGTGGACTGGCTGGAGAGGACCATGTCCTCAGTGTGGTGTCGTCATGCATCCAGCTGCTACAGCAGCCAGCCCAGGGCCAACCCCGGTATGTGGTGCCCGAGAACGGAAAGGGCTCCTACTCGGTGCTGAACCGAGGCGTGGTCTCCGACTGGGATGCCCTGGAGGTGCTGTGGCAGCACCTGTTCTACTGTCGGCTGGGTATGCGGCCCGAGGAGCTGGCTGTGCTTGTGGCTGACTCGCCCATCTCCCCACGCACCAACCGAGAGAAGGTGGCTGAGATCCTCTTTGAGCGTTTCCACGTGCCCGCCATGCAGACTGTGCATCAGGCCCTGCTGGCGCTCTATGCTTATGGGAGAACCACCGGACTGGTACTGGGCAGTGGCCACGGAACCTCCTACGTGGCACCCGTTCTCACTGGAGACCTGGCCCCAATGGATACTTACCGGTTGGATGTGGCTGGTTGTGACCTCACTGACTACCTGGCTCAGCTGTTGTTAGCAAGTGGCCAATCACTGCCTGGGGCAGAGCTGGTCAACCAGATTAAAGAGGCCTGCTGCTATGTAGCCATGGATATGGCAGCTGAGTGGGCTCGCACCGAGGGCCAGGCCCAGGTGAACTTTGTGCTTCCAGATAAGCAGGTCATCAACGTGGGCTCTGAGCGCTTCTCTTGCACCGAGGCCCTCTTCCAGCCCCATCTGCTAGGGCTCAACCAGCCTGGCCTCCCACAATTAGCCCTCTTAAGCATTAGCAGGCTGGAGGCCAAGCAACAGGAGCAGCTGCTGGCCAATGTGGTGCTGGAAGGTGGCACAACGCTGGTGAGAGGCTTTCCTGAGCGTGTGCGGCAGGAGCTGAGCCCCCGTGCCACAGTGCTGGGCTCTCCTCACCGAGCTGTCGCTGCTTGGCTTGGAGGCTCCATCATGGCCTCCCGGGAGGCTTTCCAGAGCCTCTGGCTCAGCCGCCGTGAGTATGAGGAGGAGGGCCCCTGGGCTATCTACAAGTACCAATTGTGAGCACATAAAAGTTCTGGTTCTGCTTGCTTGAGCATCGTGGCTTGTTCGAGACACAGGGTGGTGCAGGGCAGAACGGGGCATGTGGTCAGGGATGGGGGCCCTAGACACTCCTGAGCATAAGACAGCTACCCTTCCCTTCCCAGAGAGCCCCTAATCTCTTGGCTGGCATTGGCTCTAGTCTAACCTGACCTTTACTGCACCCCAAGGGCAACCACAGAGAGTGGCTGCTGTGGGTTTTGCCCCGTTGCCCTGGTGACAAGTGCAATTACCCTTGATTGCCAGCTGGTTGCCATGGTAATTTCAAACATAATGTAATAACCCACACAGCCTAGAATGAGTCATGAAGGGGGAGCAGCCCCCTCCCCTAGCTCCAAAGGAAAAGATTGCTTGCACTCCCCCTTCTTGGGCCCTCTATGGGGGGCTGAGTTCCACAACTTGGGTAATAGCCCAACAATTCCAAAGATGATTGGGGGCCTGAAGGACTTCTTGCCTCCAAGGGAGGATCCCTGTCAGTTTCTAAGGAGAAACGACCTCGTGATGCTGGTACCTCCTAAAGTCTGCCTTGATTGGAGCTCTGGCTTGTTGGACAATGAGGATGTGAGGGTACTGGAGTGAGGGCCTTTGGTTGTCTGGGCAGGGCTTTGGCATGGGTGGGAATAAAATGTGGAACGGGAAGGAAAGAACTGGACTCTGGGTGGGAGGTACCTGTGGTTTCTTTCCCACTTTTTTTGGGTGAGCAAGATGTGGCCTGCTTTGTAGGTGCAGACACAGAGGTGCTCACGTCCTCCTCTCTGACTGTATAGATTTGGTTATAGCCAGAGCTATGACCTTGGCCTCTCTTTTCCTTCTCAGCCTCCTGACCTAGAGAGTCCCTAGCCAGAGGGTGGCGAGGACACAGGCCTTTTCAGGAGATCCTCAAAGACACTAATAGACAGTGTCAATGTCCACTACTCTGGTCTTGTTTCAACTGCCCTGTGCTTAAGGGCCACTGCCATGTGCCATCTGTGGCTAGGTAGGTGACTGGAAGCCATGGCCCTTACTTGACTTCATCTTCCCAGGACAAGCTGAGACTGTGGCGTTCTGTTAGTGTTGTACCTTCCTTCCTGGAAGGCAGCTAGAAGTTGAAGCTGAAACATTAAAATGAACCCCACTCTGACTCCCTGCTGGGGGCTGCAGAACAAGTTGCCCCCGGTTACCGCCACTGAGACTTGAGAGTCAGAGGCTGCCGCAGGTGGAGAGTCTAGAAATAGCCAATGATCTAGGGCCGTCACAGTCTCTGTGTCCTGTTCTCTTTCACCCCTGAACATACACAGTCCAGTCTCCTGCTCTCATACCGCAACTGAGCCTTTACAGTTCTGTGTCAGACATGAAGGGAATCATGGCTTCAGGGAGCAGCCACAGTATCTATGTGTACATGCAAGCAAACACGCCTAGATGCACACAGAACGCAGATGCTGTGCCCCTGGACACCTCTGCACACTCTGCTGTTGTCATCTCCTTCGGCATAAGAGCCCGCACAAGCACGTGCGTGCACACACACACACACACACACACACACGTGCACATGTATCCTGCCACGTGCTCTCTCCCACAGGCACATGGAACGTGCACAGGACCAAGAAGAGGTGCAGCAGCAGCTGCAGGGCTCTGGCAAACCGCCTCTCCCCTGCCACTCGGTCCCCATTCCAGCTCCGCCTCGGCCCTCCAGCCTGGACTGTCATGAACTTCAGTAACGACAGAAAATATGACATGTGTGGGATCAGAGTCTCATCAGTCACTGGCACCATATAATCAGAGAATCATCTTTTCTTTCCCACTTTTTTTGGGGTGTTTTATGCCACACCCTGTGGTGTTCAGAGATAACTCCTGGTTCTGAACTCAAAAATTACTCCTGGCAGTGCTTAGGGGACCATATGGGATGCCAGGGATTGAACTCTGGGTTGGCCATATGTAAGATAAGCATTTTATCTGCTGTACTATTGCTCAAGCCCCAGAGTATCATATTTTTGGGTTATTTTTTTGTTTTTTATTTTTTGTTAGTTTTTTTGCTTTTTGGGTCACAACCAGTGATGCTCAGGGGATACTCCTGGCTCTGCACTCAGTAATTACTCCTGGCGGTACTTCAGGGACTATATGGGATGCTGAGGATCAAACCCCAGTCGGCTGCATGCAAGACAAATGTCCTACGTGCTGTACTATTGCTCTTGTCCCAAATATCATTTTACAGACCACTGAGAGGGCTGAGAGCCACACCATTTATTTTTTTTGCTTTGTTTTGGACCACTCCTGGAATCAGTCCTGGAAAGCTCAGTGGGGTGTCTGGAATCAAACCTGGATCAGCTGCACGCAAAGCAAACACCTTACCCCTGTACTATATCTTAAGTCTCCTCATTTTTCTTTTAACCTCCCAAGCAGTGCCTGATGGTTCAGTGCTCAGGTTCAGTGATGTGGTGCTGCTCAGGTCTCCATTGCTACTTGGGTGCTCAGGGGGCCATGTAGTGCCAGAAACTGAATGCAGGGCTGAGCGCAGGCAAGGTAAGTGTCCCAGCTCTTTGAGCAATCCCCTTGTGCCCATTCAATTGTTCTTTAGACATGAAGTGAACATACTGAGGTGAGACTCAGGCTCTGCTCTGCAGATACTTTGCCTAACAGGAGACCCTGATCCAGCAGTGGGTTTGGGATCATGACTGAGACTACCCAGAGTCCAGGGAGCCCAGAGGTGGCAACAATTTGGCCCGTGAAAGGCAACCCAAAGCCAGGAAAAGAGGGGAAGAACTCCTTGATGGCCCCTCTGGAGGAAGGCATGGAGGGGCCTTGTCTGAACAAGCATTTCCCAGGTGAGTTTGCCAGCTGCAGCGCCAGGCTCCTCACGTGAACAGTCATTCCTGACAGCAGCTGTGGAAGCTTCAGGGCGGTTCTCACCGAAGGAATAACCCTTCCCTTGATGGAAAAGTTTCACTAGGAGGGTCGGGTTGGGTGGGGCCCACATCTGGGCCCTGAGAAGTTGGAGTCGGGCCTTCAGACACTAGCCTCAAGGTGATCCTCAAGACTTGTGACGCAGGTAAGTCTAATACTAGGCCCACAAGCCTCCCTGACAAGAGACAAGGCAGTGACCAATGAGAGCTCTGCTTCAAAGCTTCGTCTTGCCAGTTCTTTGTTACCTAGTCAGGGGATAGGGCAGGTGGGAGGCTTCGAGGCTCTGTTTCTCTCGGACCCCCACAGCCCAGCCCACTGAGGAGGAGGCTGCTCAGAGTGTTTTGAGGACATTAAGCTGGGAAGAGAACAGAGTCCACATCATCCTGGATGACAGTTACAGCCTGGAAACTTCAGTGCCACATGGGGAGTGGGACAGATTGGGTCAGTGGCCGTGGCTGGGACTTGAACATGGGGAAGGCATCCACTCTTCAGGCTGTTAGCTCTGCCACCATGGGGTGCTGGGGGTCTCATCCTCACCACATACCCTTTTCCCCTTGCTGCTGCTGACGGAAAGGGTGAGGGAATGCCAGTCTGTAGTCCAATTTGCTTTGGGGGCTGCCCACTTATTTCTTCTAAGTGGGTTCCAGCATTTGAGTCAGGTTTGGGAAGCTAGACAGAGCCTGGATCCCTGGGAACTACTAGAGACTCCAGTGCAGCCCGGGGATATGCCTTTTCACATTCCTCCTCCTCTCACTCCCTACAGTGGGCATAGACTCCCCGCTTCCCCTCCTCCCACCCCCTCCCCCCCAACACACACACACACACACACACACACACACACACACACACACACACACTGTCCCCGTGTTGCTCTGTCTAGGCCTGGGGGAGGCTGAGAGCCGAGCGTGGGCCAGTGTGGCTCTGGGGGCCCAGCGGACTCGGATTCTAGCCTCAGGCTCCGCGGGGGGTGGGGCGGGGCCGGTTGCGGGAGGCCCCGCCCCCGAACCGCCCCCGGCTCGGGGTGCGAATCCGGTGCTGGCTAGCGGCGGGAGATGCTGGAGGTTCGCGAGCCGGAGCGGCTGCAGCAGGCGCCGCGTCTGCCACGCGTGTGCCCGGAGCGGATTCTGCCCGCTGCCCCTGGAGCCCTCGGCGTCCCCACCGAACCCGCAATCGCTTCCTCCCAGTGACGGACCGGCGCTGCAGGTGCGGATCGTGTCGGGCTAGGGGATGGCCCCAGGACGCACGTTGCAGGGTCTTAGGGGAATTGGGTCTCAGGCTCCAGGTTCTGGGCGCGGAGTGCAAGGGGCACATCGAAAGCTTGGGGTCCTTGTGGGTGCAAAACACGCGGGCTCTGTAGGTCCGGGAGGTCAGTGTGTTGGGTTGGGTTAAAGTTCCCGTCACCGCGATTTTGTGTGTGTGTGGGGGGGGGTCCCAGGGGGAGCCTCTGAGATTCAAGTCCAGGCGAATTTCCTCTCCTTGCACCCATCCCCTGCCTTTTCTCTGGGCTGCTAATTGTGAGAATAGAACCCTCCAATATTCGTGGTGCTTCCCGGGGGGCCGGGGCGGAGGGCTGAGCTGTCCCTTCAGACTCCCGGAGCATCCTCCAGCCCCTCCCAACTGCCCCCAGGGCCCCCCCTCCCCCTAAGCAGTCACTAATTTCCATGACAACGGAGAGTTCTTTATGGGCGACAACCTGAAGGGGGCTGGGCGGGGCTGCTGCGGGATGGGGGAGGAGGCTGGAAGCCCCCAGGGACCTGAAACCCCCTTAGTAGAGAGCGGGCGCTGAACTGTTCCCGCCGCTGTGGCCAGCCGGGGCCCAGGACCCTGACCCCGCGGCGTGCGTTGCGGGTGGGGGCGCACATGTTTCTGCTGGGAGGTGCGGGGCTGGAGGCTCACACGTGTGCCTTCCGCATGTGTGTGCCTGTGCCAGCGGGGGCGAGTCAGCCGCACTGAGGAAGGGGTCAGGGTAGCACCACCGTCCGGAGGGGACCCTGAGCTAGAAATGGGGTTTAGGGTGGACAATGAGCCGGTGAGTTTCTGCCTTCCCCAGTCTTTAGTGTCTCGCTGAGACCCTGGGCGCTCCTTCCCCCCTCCCACCCCTTACCCCCTCGTGGTTCTGCCAAGCTTCTTTTGTCCACCCCCTAGACAGAGCCCTTTCCACCAGGTTCCAGGGAGAGAGCAGGGTCCTCTGCCCCTCTCCCAGAGCTCTGTCTGCAGTAGCTCACCCCCTATCTTGTCACCACCTTCTAGGACCCAGTCTGAATCCCCTAGGATCACCTGCAGAGACCTCCTATACCCACCTACCCAAATGATTCTTACCAGCTTCAGCCACCTGCTGGACCCCAATTTCCTCTGCACAGAAATTAGGAAATTAGTGGGTCCACTCCCCCAGGTCTGATTTTGTGGTGAGGCACAGGTTTCTCTCTGTCTCTGTCTGTCTGTCTGTCTGTCTGTCTGTCTGTCTGTCTCTATCTCTTGTTTACAGCTTTTGGTGAGAACACTCAGGTGGCATAGAGAGACTTCCCAGGTCACAATGGGTCCGCCTGTCCAGACCCTGCCCTGGTGGCATCTCCCTAGCAGGTTGGCAGGCCTTGCCTGGGGAGAGACAGCTACAGGGTTGACCCTTTCCATCCAGGGAAACTGAGGGACGAAGGCCTGTGCTGTTGTGATCCTGTTTCGAGGGTGTATGAGTTGCTGCTTCTGGCCTTCCTGACAGGATCTATTCCCAGGAAGGCAGGTGGTGGCAGGGGATTAGGCTGAGGTGCGAGAGGGGCCACAGGGACCCAGGGCTGGAAAAAGAGAGCAAGCTGGGGGGTGGTGGGTGTGTGTGGTTGGGGAGTCTAGGCAGGGGGAGGGGTGGGAGGACAGGAAGCAGCCAGGTCTCCAAGCTTTATTTCCATCCCCCAGGCTGTGCTTCAACATGCTGGAATTGCCTCACCTAAGCATCGCGACAGCAGGGAAAAGGGGCTGAGGCTGTTTTGGGGGACTGCTACAGCTGGTCCTTTCCCTAGGGCTTTGGCTGTGCCTCCCACACCAATGCAGTGCCTAGCTGGGGGACACAGAAGGTTCTAGTCACCCAGGGAAGCTCTTGGTTCATGTGTCCAGAGCACATGTCCATGGAGGCTTTTGGGCACTGGGCACCCTTCAGAAGCCGGCACACTCTTCCTGCCTGCAGCCTTGCATTGCATCCCTTTTACTCAAGCCTTCTTTTCTCCCTCCATCATAGGTTCTCTTTGTCTTTGGACCCCTAGCCCTCTTTTTGGGGGTCTAAAGTTCTTCCATCTCCTCTGCATTGACGGAGACCAGGGTTATAAAACCTTTGGGGAAGGAACCAGGTCTGGGTCCCAGGGAACTCCCAGATAAGGGGTCTGGACAATATCTCTGCCCCCTTCACCACCACCTTCTTTTAAAACTTCCATCATCACCCTGGCAACCCTTTACTCTGGAGCCTTCCCCTGTATTTCTCCATCCACAGGGATGCAATAAATTCTCCTTCAGGGGTGTAGAGATTGGGACTCTAGTCCCTAGCAGGAGCCAGTTGGCTCTACCTAAATGTTCTGGAGGCAGAACAGGACTGTGCCCACCCCAGAGACTGGAGACACTTATTACTGTCCCTCCTTATTTCCTCTCATTAGAGGGAAGGGTCAGTATTGGCCCAGCCAGTGGAGTCTCCTGTCCTGTTCCCTGAAGCAGTTGTCTGGGTGGCTAGAAGCTTTGCGCTGCATCCTACTTCCAGCCCTTGAGAGTAAGATGTCTCCATCCTCCCATCCTAACCCGTCCTGCAGGTGAGGCCTGAGCTAGACCCAGACCAGGTGAGACTAGGATCGAGACATGTCCATGGAAGCAGGAAGCCTAGTCCCTGAGAGAGAATGGGGTGGCGGTGGGGGGGGGGTTACAGCGCCTCTAGGCTGGTGTTCACAGCTGCCACTAAATCGGGAGGTGTTGCCCACAGTTGTTGGGAGACATCTGGAGGCCTCCTGGGCCCCTGCTGGTCTCCCTAGATTTCCTACAAGCTCTAGAGCCTTCCGAGATGGACATCCAGGGCAGCAGGAAACCCCTGTGCATTATGGCTACAAGATTTGAAGTTTGAATCAGGGTGACCCCCATGGAGGAGGGGACAGGACTCTAAAGTGGACCTCTGATCTTCTGGAGATGGCCTTTATCTTGCCTCAGGATACAGAGGATATCCCCTGGGCCAGACATGCCCAAAGCTGCAGTAGGGTCTTTGGGGCATCCCTATTATCAGGACACCATAGGCAAGACTCCCATAGGGCTACCTGAGCTCAGGGGTCAGCCCTGAGGAGCTGGCAGGAACCAGGCTGGAAGTCAGTGGCAGTGCCCACGCTCTGCACTTCCCCCAGACTTCCTCTGGTAACCCCCCACCTTGGTTGGGGCTGTAAGTGATTCAACAGACAATGGAAGGTAAAGCTGTGAGGCCCCTTGCCTGCTGTGGCCCAGTGTGGGCCTGAGGCATCGCCCTTGTCTTTCCAACTTTCCTCAAACTCCCCTTAGCTGCACCTCCCAATTTTGTTGTTTTTTGTTTGTTTGTTTGGGTTTTTTTTTTTTTGCTTTTTCGACCACACCCCTAGATGCTCAGGGGTTACTCCTGTCTCTGCACTCAGAAATTACTCCTGGTGGTGCTCAGGGGACCATATGGGATGCCGGGGATCAAACCCACGTCAGCTGTGTGCAAGGCAAACGCCCTACCCACGGTACTGTCTTTCCAGCCCCTTAACTCCCAACTTTGGGACCAGGGCCCCCTTTGTTTCCTAGCAGGTGTCACAGGCTTGGTGCACATACCAGGCAGCCTCCAAAGCAGCAGCAGTGGGGAGCAGATGGTGGAGTGGGTGGGAGTAGAGGGGACCATGGCACTAGTCGGAAGCACGCCCCCCACCCCCCTGCTCTCTCCTTTCTTCACCCTGGGGCCAGGCTGGTGAGGGAGGAAGTGAGTGCTGTGAGAGTGGCAAGGGAGGAAAAGCCAGGACTGGTCCAGATCTGGGCATCCAGGTGCCGGGTAGGTCTATCCCGGCCTCAAGCCATGAGGCTTCAGGGCCTGACTCCAAGCAGATGGGACTAGGGACAAAGGCCCAGATTTCTGATTCCACGATGTGACAAACCCCAAGAGAAGTCCTGGGTGCCTGTGGGCATGAGGGCGCTTGAGGGTGTGTGCATGAAGGAAAAGCTGCGACAGGATAAACAAACCCCCCCACCTGGAGGCAGGGCAGGGTGGGTGGGGAGAAGAGAGGGGAGGTTATGTCAGAAGGGCCATTTTGAGCCTGGTTTTGACACCTCGGGATTGTTTTAGACAATCTGTGGTATAAACCACCTTAAAATGTCAGAAATGACAATGAGCAAAGGAATTCAGCCCTGGTCTTGGCACCCTGGACACTCTTCCACATGGGGGCCAAGGCAGCAGTGCCCTTGCCGGTGCTCACGCTTCCTGCCATGGAGTGGACACTGTGGACATGGCGAGTCACCTGTTGTTGGATGTTTAGGTAGTTGCTGATATATTTTTTTTAATGTTATAAATAACTCTGCCGTGACAAATAGGATGCTGATGGGAGGCCCTGGGGGAAGGGCATTCCTGCAGAGGGAATGGTGTGAGCGAAGCAGCAGAGCTGGGGCACAGGTCTCTGCCAGCCCTTCTGGGGGACCTGCCAGCTGAGGGACCACCCTCCCACCGAGGATGAGCCCTAAGATCACAGGCTGGGAAGGGAGGGAACTGCTGCAGACCCCCTCCCCCAGGCTGTCAGGGCGCCGAGTGAGGTGGCCGGCGGTGGTGGGTGGCTGTGCCTCTGCTCTCAGCTGTGAGAGTGGGATTCCAGCCACATGCTCTCCCTAAAAGACACAGGAGCAGGGCTGTGACCATGTGGCAAAGACGCAGTCGGGAAGATCTTCAAAGCATCTCTTGTTTGCCTCTGCAGTGCCTCAAGACAAGATGGCTTAAGCCCTGGCTTAAATCACGCTGATGAAATGTATTTGCATTCCCTCAGCCCCAAAACCCAGATGAGGAAAGAATGGGATTTGTATCTTAATGCTGAGGAGACATGGGGGGAGGGAGCATCCAGGAATGTGACCCCTGGGATGGGCTCCATCTGGGAGGGACGGAGCAACAAGCAGGGCCAGCCAAGGGGCTTGTGTGGGTTCAGGTCACTGTGCTGGGGAGAGAGTTCTTCAACTCAAACTGCTTCTGGGGGTGGCTT